TCTTGTTTGATGGCAGATACTCCCTTCACCCTGGCCAAAAAGGCTAAAATGACCAAAGAAAAAGTGGAAAACTGTTAAACATGAGAGGTTTTTGGACAAAGTTTGTGTTTTTTCCATTGTTTAAGCACTGCTTCCAGCCAAGAGCGATACCATATATGCCCTATAGCTGCAGAAAAAGCTAACATTGTTATCTTTTTACAAAAAACAGCTGAAAATGAGAGGTTTATGGACCAATTTTGTGTTCTCCATTCTTTAAGCACCGGTTTGAGCACCGGCACCGTTTCAAAAGTACCGATTTGGCACCGGTATCGGATAAAACCTAAACGATACCCATCCCTAGTAAACACCAAGAAAAAAACACACATGATGAGCCAATTTTGAAGGTATTTCACATCTGCTACAGGAACAAGTGGTCTTCAGCTGTCTCTTGTCATTTTTTGTGTGTGTATGTGTGTGTGTGTGTCCTGGAATTGCAAAACTCAATTCAATTATGCACCTATGCACCTACATCCACTAAAATTCAAGTCCTGGACACCCAAACCTCAAGGCTCATATAATTGGCATTAATTATGGAGCTCCTCCTGGTTCTGTGATGGGACCAAATGTATTTGCATTATGCATTCTTCCCTTAGGCAGTATTATTAGAAGGCATAGAATACATTTGCATTGCTATGTTGGGGTGATACTCAACTTTATCTGTCTATCTGTCAACAAAAACAGACAAACACACCAATTAATTAAACTGAAGAAATGTAAAGCTATAAGGACCTGGATCACCTCCAATTTACTGCTTCTAAATTAAGATAAAACTGTGGTTATTGTATGTGGGCCTAAAAATCATAGGAACATGTTTTCAAGTTTTTCATTCAGTGGGAATGAAACACATATTGTGATGACTCTATGGGTCTTCATATTTTAATGTTCACTATTGTTGTGATCTGGCACTATGTAAATAAAACAGAATTGAAATTAAATTGAATATTGACATTCAAATTATTACAATATGTTCAAAATAAAAAACAGTCTTGATGAACTGACCTTAGAGTCTCAAGCCTACAGTTTGCACTCTCTAGACCAGTAAACAGCTGCTTCAAAGCTGAATCAGGGAGTTTGGCTCCACTCAGGTCCAGCCCTGTTAGATGGGAGGGACTGGACTTCAGAGCTGATGCGACAATTTCACAGTGACTTTCTGAGAGTTCACAGCTAGAAAGCCTGTGATGGAAAATATATCACCACACATGTTATAAAGTGGACAAATGAGTTTTCCTCCATTTGATGAGAAACACTTGAAAAATTTCCAGCTTCATCTACATAAGTGGAACATTTAGAGTCTGTTGTCCAAACAGTATAGAAATTAAACTTAAATTAAACTAACTGAACATCATCAGATTCAATATTAGCACAATTTAAAATTGCTGTAACTGAACCATTACTTAAAATCAGTTACTTATTCCGCTTGTGGTAGCTAACTATAATTTGAATTTGAAAGACAGAGATCCTCTCTACTTTTAAGACTAGCCTTTAAAATGTACTTTTTGTATTGCAAGGGCTGGATGAGGTGGCCCTGAACCATCACTTTGTTATTCTTCTATCATTTCATGCTGAGAATTTTCCATAATGAACTCTTTTGCAAGCGCCTGGGTATGAGATAGGCCACCATGAACTACTCAAAGATGCAAGTAGGTCAGACAATGTAAGACTGACAGTGGCAATGTGGCTATTCTAGCAGACAGGAAATCAGACAGAATGACCATGAGAAGCTAGAAAAGTACTGTCAAAAGATCTTGTCAATTTCTGCAGGATGAGTCTTTCTCTCATGTAATCGGTACTTTAGAACATAGATTTGAGCACAAATTATTTTTTAATGATAACTATATCTGGTCTTACCGTGCCTTTCTGCAGTTTCTTATAGCTGGAATAAGTCTTCGTTGTCCCTCCTTTGATGTATTATACTTATTCAGGTCCAGGTCATCCAGAACCTCCTCTGACATCTGGAGCATGTAGGCCAGAGCTGAGCAATGGATGTCAGATAGTTCCTTCTCTGATCTGTTTTCTGATTTCAGGAACTCTTGGATCTCCTGATGTACTGAGAAGTCATTCATCTCCATCAAACAATGAAAGATGTTGATACTTCTATCAGGAGAGATTTTATCACTCTTCATCTTCTTCAGATTATTGATGACTCTCTGGATAATTTCTGGACTGTACTCCATCTTATTGAGCAGACCTCCTAAGAGTCTCTGGTTGTAGTCTAGTGACAGGCCATGAAGAAAGCGGACAAATAGATCCAGTTGGCCATTCTTACTTTGGAGAGATTTCTGCATGACAGTGGAAAGAAAGTCCTCTTGAAAATAGATGGGCATACCATCATCAAAATCATCAGTAAATAAATCTGGAAAATCATTTCTCAGAAACTTCTCCAGCACCTCTTCCTTCCTGTTGCTGTAACAGTGGAACATGTAGACAGCAGCCAGAAACTCCTGAATGCTCAGATGAACAAAGCAGTAGACTGGTTTCTTGAAGATCGCACACTCTCTTTTTAAGGTCTCTGTACAAATGCCTGAGTACACTGAGGCCTCTGTGACATTCAGACCACACTGCTCCAGGTCTTCTTGGTAAAATAGGATGTTTCCTTTCTCCAGATGTTCAAAGGCCAGCCTCCCCAGCTTCAGGAGAACATCCCTGTCAGCCTGCATCAGCTCCTGTGGACTCGTCTCATGTCCCTCGAGGTATTTGTGCTTCTTTCTCTTTGTCTGAACGAGCAGGAAGTGTGAGTACATGTCAGTCAGGGTCTTGGGCAGCTCTCCTCTCTGCTCTGTAGTCAACATGTGCTCCAGAACTGTAGCAGTGATCCAGCAGAAGACTGGGATTCTACACATGATGTGGAGGCTCCTGGATGTCTTCATGTGGGAGATGATTCTGCTGGACAGCTCTTCATCACTGAATCTGCTCGTGAAGTACTCCTCCTTCTGGGCGTCAGTGAAACCTCGTACTTCTGTTACCCTGTCAACACATATAGTAGGGATCTGACTGGATGCTGCAGGTCGGGAAGTTATCCAGACGAGAGCCAAGGGAAGCAGATTCCCCTCGATGAGGTTTGTCAGCAGCTCGCTGACTGATGACTTCTGTGTGACATTAGACACAAGCTTCCTGTTGGTGAAATCCAATGAAAGTCTGGTTTCATCCAGGCCGTCAAATATGAACAAAAGTTTACAGACAGCGAGCTTCTCTGCTGTGACCTTCTGTAATGCTGGATGGAAAACATGGAGCAGCTCTAGAAGACTGTACTGCTCATCTGTGATCACGTTCAGCTCCCTGAATGAAAGCAGAATCACCACACTGATGTCTTGGTTCTCCAAACCTTCTCCCCAGTCCAGAGTGAACTTCTGTACTGAGAAGGTTTTTCCAATGCCGGCAATGCCATTTGTTAGAACAACTCTAATGGGTCTCTGTTGGTCAGCCAAAGCTTTAAAGATGTCCTGGCACCTGATTGGAGTGTCATTGATGGTCTTGGAAGCTGTCTCCAGCTGCCTCACCTCATGTTGGGTATGAACTTCTTCACTCTGTCCCTCTGTGATGTAAAGTTCAGTGTAGATCCTGTTGAGCAGAGTCCCACTTCCTGTTTCATCACTTCCTTCAGTCACATGTTCACATCTCCTCCTTAGACTGATTTTATGTTCATCTAATACCTCCTGCAGACCAACATCTGCTAAAAGAAAGAAAAACAATGATGCTAAATAGATAGAAAACTCTTTAATACCCATCACAATAAGAAGTCCAGGCTTTAGATGTTCAGTCGTACTTTGAGCACAACCTCTCTGACTGGCGGTCTGCAGTCTGGACCTGCATCCAAACTGTGGACACAAGGAGTCTCTCCCTTGTCTGCAGAACCAGTGTCTACAATTGGTAGAGACTGGATCCTTCAGGATGTCCTGACACAAAGCACAGTAGGACAGCTGCTCCTCCACACTAACATGACTCTTCTCTCTGTGGACATGAAGGAAAAAATATTCTGACCAGAAAAATACACAGTAAAGTCAGAAATATAAATATAAATATAATTAAAATATAAATATAATTATATAAATATAATTACTCAGTTCAGCAGAAACAGTCTCTTACTTTTTGTCTAAGGTTGCGGGTTCATCACTGAAGTTTGGATTATGCTCTTTGGACCAATCACTCTTCGCAGACACACAGCTAGATTCTGCAGATGATGTGATGTGTATGTGGTGTTGATCTCTGGAAACACAAACAAAGCATAAACAAACTAACCCCCCCCCCAAAACCCTTGTCATTCATGGACATAAAATGTTTTTTGTTGTTTGTTTTTTTTCATGGCAGCTTTTGAGACAGTTTTGGGTTTTGCCATGAAACTAGGCTGAGCAGTCAGGCCACTGTGATTAAGAGAGGATTTAAGAAGTGCTCACTTGTAACTTCCTGATTGCATCACATTCAAAAGCACAGACTATTGACTCAAACATGGGCTGCAGGTAGTCCAACTTTTCCAAAATGGCACATTATTACATCCCATTGCCATAAGGGTTGCTTAGTCTCCCAGCACAGTCTCAAGCAGAGGTGGGACCAAGTCATTGTTTTGCAAGT